GCAGGTCAAAAGCCTTGCTCTTGGAGCTGTTTTTCCTCCAGGGTGTCAGCACCATGCCAGTTTCTAGAGTCCGTCAGAGATGGGTGGGTCGTGGACTAACCAGACAGACAATGTGGGTCACCTATATTGTGCCAGCCTCCTAAAGCAGGAAACTGTGTTGAAACAGAAACCTCCAGGTATCCGGGTAGATGAAGGCAGGTCGCTGACATGCCACACCCACAGCAAGCTGGGCAGGCAGGAAGGGGCATTCGCGGTGTCAGCCGTCCTGAGCACCTGAGGTGACAGCCAGGGCTGCTTCTCTCCGGCATGGTGCTGGGCACAGTCTGTACATTGCTCTGCGCCTAGAGTCCCCCTGCAGTCCTACAGGGAAGTGTCACCCCATCCATGGGTCATCAGCCAGTAAACCAATCCCTGAGAGCCCTAGTGGCCCCCAGCTCTGGCCTCAAGTCCGGCCTCAGGTCTCCAGCCCATGACTGCCTCTGTAGGCAAATCCATGCAGGGTCTTATCTCCCTGTTAGATGCCAGTTCTTGGAGTAGGGGGTGCTCTGTTTGCTTCTCTCTCTGTTGGGTTCAGTAAGTACTCTATTAGATGTCACCAGCTGGATCAGCTTGGGAGTCCTCTGGTGCCTCTGCATATCCAATTGAGAATGAGATGGCACCACCTGAGCTTTGGATGTCTCCTTGCTGACCCAGGCCTGAATCCCTTTGCTTTTCCCTTCTCCAGCCACCAATAACTGCCTCCTTTTGCCACCCTCCTGGACAGAGCACCCAGCCAATCATGATGCATTTTCTCTGCCAATTAGGAGCAACAAGGTCAGGGAATGGGCAGCTCTGGGCCCTGCCAGAGTCCTAAGGGCTGTAGCCCAGGAGAATAAAGTGAAGATGGGTGGCACTGTGTCCTCCAAACTCCATGTACTGAGGCCCTAACTCCGACACTGCAAAATGCAACCTTTCTTGGGAATAGGGTCATCACAGATGTAATTAGTTAAGATGGGGTTATTGTGGAGTAGGGTGGCCCCTAATCCAGTATGACTGGTATTTTATAAAAAGGAGAATGTGCACACAGGGAGGACAACCCCAGAAGGTAAAGGCAGAGGTTAGGGGGATGTGTCTACAAAGAGCCAGAGATGCTACCAAAAGCTAGAGGGATAGCATGGAGCAGATTCTTCCCCACAGCCTTCAGAGGAGGCCAACCCTGCAACATCTCCATCTTGCACTTCCAGCTCCAGAGCTGCTAGAGAATGAGTTTCTGTTGGTTAGCCACTCGGTTGTGGTATTCTGCTTTGGGGCCCTGGCCAGCTACCACAGAGAGCTCGGGGTGGGGGGGGGGGGCTTGGAGGTAAAAGGAAGAGCCTATTGTGCAGATGGTAACAGAGGAAGCGTGGCTCATGTAATAGAATCACCCCAGTGCCCCATCATGACTCTCCCTCTCCCAGCTGAAGGCCCCAGAAAGGCAGAGTTCAAAACCACAGGTTTTTGGAACATAAATGGCTGATCTTCAATCCCTCAGCTGACCATGATCTGCCCTGTGCTGCTGAGTGCAGGTAGATGGTGACACTATCCTGTTTAATGAGGTACAGAGCCACTCTGCAAATGGCACCTCACATCTCCCTGCCTTCTCCCCAGGACCTTCCTCCTCCTCTCTCCTCTGAACCCCCATTCCCAGGCTGGGCCTCTGGTACAGAGATACCAGGAACTTGCAGAGTAGGGGTGCTTGTGACCTCCAGCGTAAGGAGAAGCGCCTCCATATAGAAATTTAGGAAATGCTTGATCCATACCCAGCAGAAAGGGCTTCAGGGTCTTGATTTGTATTCCAACAGGCTTTGTCAACTTCTGGAAGGACCCATTATTTACAGTGGACCATCTGCATGGGGCTTGTTTCCCAGGTGAAATTATTCCCAAAGAGGGAAAGAAACCCTATAACCTGCTCTCCAGGTAATGACAGATGATAAAACAAGACTCCACAGGCCCCAGTTTAGAGCCGAGTAGATGGCTGTGGGCATAGAAGGTTATTCAGAGCAACTTCTGAATGTTCCAGGACTCAGAACCAGATACCCAGGTTCATACAGAGGTTTCCTGAGGCCTCAGAGCAGCTCTTGGGGCTGAGTCCCGTGCCAGTGAAGTGCCTGTAGTGGCTGCATAGGGTGTGCCAGCTGAACTCAGAAATGAGTGAACCCCAAGTGCTGATCCTTGGAATATTAGCCCATGGAATCTGGGGCAGTTGGAGACAAAGGGACCTTAGAGATCAGAAGCCCTGCCCCTGACATCCCAGGACCTCTGGTCCCTCCCTGGTAAAATGCAGACAGCAAGGTCCCAGTGAGATGAGAGAGGGCTCAGAAACCTGCCCGCCATGAAGTGGGAGCAGTGCTAGTGCCTCCTGGTTAAGTGTGTGCACAGAGAGACCAGTGCTACCGTGAGCTCCAACCTTCCCACACGCCAACGTGGTACAGCTCCTCCACAAGAACCAGCTGCCATGGAGGCCAGAGAACTGGCCGTTCTCCAAAGTAACCCCTGTATTTTCCTGGGTGCATTAGGGGTAGAAGGAGCTCTTGAACAAGGGCACCCTGGAGGTTGTTTTGTGCTTGAAGAATCATTGGTTCCTTTTCAGGTTGTTTCTGCTTCAGTGGACACACTGGGAGACTTGCATTTCCAATTTCCTGTCTCTCCTGTGCTCCTGACACATTGTAATGCGCTGAGCTCAACCTGGTTCTTTCTAGCTCTTTGTTATGAAATGCCTCTGAGTCCTGACTGAGAGGCGGTGATGGGAATTATGTTCCCAGAACCACCTGGATTATGGGCTCCACCTGGGAAATGTTTTGTCCTCCTTGTGCTGCCCCCCACCCCACAAGCCCAGCAAGCTTGGTGCCAGGCCACCCTTTGGTCATTCTTGCCATAGAGAAGATTGGGACTGGAGTCAGAAAGGGTGTCCAAGGCTACAGATGACCTGTCTGCTCCCCAGTGTGCTGAAGAGTAGAACCCCATTTTGAGCATCCTCTCCATGGTCTGGAGCACTCAGTGAAGCCAGAGGTGCAGCAGTGGAACTCACTTTCCTTACTTTGTCGTGCTCTCTGGCTCCACCCATCATTGAAGGCTGAGAAGTCTCACCTGCACTCACCTTTCATACTCCCTTGCTGGTCACTTCGACCTTCCCAAGGCTCTGACAGAGAGCTGGATGGAGCGGGCATGGGCTTGGCCTCCTTGCCTCTGTTTTTCCCACTTCCTGGTTTCTCCTCCTGGTAAGTAAATGCTCCTGTCCCCATCCTTAAAGACGGAATCAAGTGCCTGGCTGGTATACTACCTGCTCCCCCAATTGGAGAATCCCTCCTCTACCACACTGGTGACACAGGTCTGTCTGGTAGAATTATACCTGATTTGCAACCTGGTCCTGAAATTAACCACTTAGAAGAAATAGGATAAAATGAGCATGCTACTCTGCTACCCACCCTAATGATTCCATTATCCAGGCTTTTGTGGCCCGAAAGACTATGGCATCTCAGTTTGATCTAGAAACATTTTTGCCAAGGTGGTTGTCAGCAGGCAGACGCCAGAGCCCTGCTGCAATCACTCCTGGAGGAGCTAACAATGAGCCTGCGTGTTCCTTGGGTAAGAGTGTCCCAAGGGCATGCTTTTTCCCACCAGGATCAAAGGCTCGGTTCTCTCTGTGATATGTGAGACTTCAGGGAAGACTTGGCCATTCTAGAACACAGATCATGCACTGGAATCTGAGAATGGATCTGCCGCAGGTCTCCTTGGCCAGGACTCTTGGTTTGATTTCCCATGCACTTTGTGCTTCACCACACAAATCATGTGCTGTAACTGGTCAGGGAAGTGTCTCAGGGAGAGGCCAGAGGGTAGCATTGCCAAGCTGGGCAGTTGGTGTGTTCACAATGTGTTCTTCACCCTGAGGACCCAGGACCACCCTGCCCCTTGCCCTTCCATCTCCTTCCTCCACATCACAGGCACCACTGTTAGGCCTCACCTGTAACTATGGGCTCAGAAACCCTATGCTACCCTCCTACCCCCTGTAGCAAACAAGACCTTGATGCTCAGGAGGCTGGAGAACAGAGTGACCAGAACTCTAACTATGTCACTCACAGGGAGACTGCCAGATCTTCCCTCCTCCAAATAGAAGCATTTGGATGAAGGACCTGGAAGTGTCCCTTTGGCTCCCACCCTCCTTGAATCTAAATCGGCTTTCTGATTCTGCTAGGGAACTGAAGGCGAGGTGGCACCCCCTCCTAAATAGCCATAGTCCTGCTTGGCTTTTTCTCCACAGCTGCTTTCACCCTCACTTGTGGGTGTGTGCCCGGAGCTGGCTCAAGCTCCCAGAGCCCACCTAGCCCCTCAGAAATGCTAGGCTTGGGGCTCAGAAAATGAGACCTGTTCCAAAGCAGAAAGTGAATGAATTTCAGGCCAAGTTCAGCTTCCTTTGTTTTTACCAGCTACCGTTCAGAATTGTTTCCCCTCTCCTCTCCCTCTCCTCTTCAAGATCACAAACAAAGGCAGAAAGTTCTACCTACACTGTTGCTATCCGAAGAATGTAGACTTTGGAGCCAAATGCCTGGGTTTGGTCCTTGCTGTGCTGCAGGGTGAGGTTGGGCAAGTTACATAACCTGCCTGTGCTTCACTTTCCCTTAGCTATGAAGCCATGTGTCATCTCACACAGCCCTCATCTCTTAGGGTTCTTGTGGGGAGTAAATAAGCTGATGAAGGACAGCAAGTCTTCACAATGATGAGAACAATAACAATGATGATGATGTCATCTGCATATCCTGAGGTAGCAGAGGGTGGTGGAAGGACACAAGATGAAGTCAAGGGGACTGGGTTCAGGCTTGGACTTTGCACTAGCTGATGGTGTGATGAAAATTCAGACTCTCAGAATGCTTCTGTTTTTGTCAGCGTGAGACAGGTGAAGACGGTAGTCGTGAAGGCCCAGGGAGTAGGTCTGGCAAGCTTATTCGCCCCAAACCCGGCTCACATTGCTCTCTTTCCCTTCACAGACACACGTTCTGGCAGTTCCGCCATGAGAACCCCAAGACCAGGGTTGGGGACCCTCCACCTGAGGGACTCCCTGGATTCAACAGTGGGGTGATGCTGCTGAACCTGGAAGCCATGCGTCAGTCCCCACTCTATAGCCGCCTGCTGGAGCCTGCGCAGGTACAGCAGCTCGCTGACAAGTACCGCTTTCACGGCCACCTTGGTGACCAGGACTTCTTCACCATGATTGGCATGGAGCACCCAGAGCTCTTCCATGTGCTGGACTGTACTTGGAACCGGCAACTCTGCACCTGGTGGAGGGACCATGGCTACAGTGATGTCTTCGAGGCCTACTTCCACTGCGAGGGTCACGTGAAGATCTACCATGGTAACTGCAACACTCCTATCCCAGAGGACTAGGCAATCCTTGGCTGCCAGGCCTCAGGGCCTTGCCAACTCCTCTGACTCTGCAGGGACGTCTTTTGGGGTGAAGGCACTACAGATCTACTACCTGGCCATTCACTGTCTAGGGACCACCCAAAGAAGACAGGCCTGTGCATCATTGGTGCTCAGGGACTCTTCCCTTCAGGGCACCAGGCCTCACCAGAAACAAACACAGAGACATCTTCTGGTGGGCTCAGAAGCAGTATTTGAAGAGAAGGCAGAAAAGAAAAGGCTCCTTACCCCCCAAGGTATCAAAATCCTTTTAAGAACTGGCCATTCTTGGACCAAGTGTAAATTTAATTTAAATAGACAGTATTCTATTTTGTGAGACAGAACAAACAGTACTCTTGCAGCTCTCAGTGAGCTCTGAGTAAGTGAGCCAGGGTTTTAGCAAGCATCTCATATTTTAAGCATCAAAGGAATGTGGACCTTCCACATCTTCACCCAGGAGGAACACCTGGGTGCACCTCCTCTCAAAATGCTCACATCATTTGGTGCAGGCTTCAAGATCACCACCTCTTCGGGTCAGGAGGTCATCCGGGGCCCACATACCAGGCTTCTTATTGTAGCATTTGCAGCTTTTATCTCCCCATTACATCATGGACCCCGTTTTCCCTCATTCATTCAAACCAGTTCCAAGTTACCTGACTGCACTAGGAATCAAATCCACCAGCAAAGAAGAGACATTGGCCACCCCTTCTTCTTGATGCAATAGAATCATCTAGACTGGGAAGACTCATTACAAAGAGGAGCCCAGCAGCACAACTGTGTGGGCTTGGGAGGGGTGTGGCTTATGGACTTATAATCATCCTAGTTTATTTTTCTAAAAAGGTCATCCCCATACTTCCTATGGCACCATGCCAGACCGGTAGTAGAACTTAGACTGTCTTTTCTTTATTTCTCCTTGTGAAAAAATGAAGCCCCTCCTGGTCCATGTCCCACAGTCCAGCTGATGTCTTAGGGTGAGATATGTTGTGGGAGTTTCCTCTTATTTCTGTCTTAATTTTGTTTACTTTTTTATTTCTTTCACCATGGGTGAGAACAGCTAATAAATAATCTTTGAGAACACAATGACTCATGTTGTTTGTTTTCTGGTCAGTTTTCAGCAGCTCTGAATGAAGAGAGTAATCAATGCAGCATGCCTGCAGTGGGCTCTGAGGGCCAAAGGGAGCGCATGTCTGAGGGTGGCAGGGAGGTGGTATTGTATTCGGCTCCAAGTAGAGAATCGTTTCTTTCTAGGTATTAGTAAGACCATCTGCTTCTGGAGCAAATGCAACACTCTCCCTTCTCATGCAATCTAGCCCAGACCTTCCAGCTGCATCAGGCCCTGACAAAGGGGCCCCTAGCCCTTCACAGGGGCAGAACTGGTCTGTTCTCTTGGTTTCTTGATTTCCTATTTGTCACAAGCAGCTGTCGAATGCCTGTTGTGTCCCAGTTATCATACTTGGAATTTATATACACTATTGGGACTACTCAATCCCAATCAATCCTAAAACTGATCGTAAGAAAAAATAAGGTGTGGACAGACTCATACACTACGTTGTTGATCACAGCAATTTTTTTTATAATGCAAAAACCTGGCAGCAATTTAAACCATTGAGGAAGTGGATAGATAATGTATGCTGCATCCATATAATGGAAAACACTATTAAAAATCGTATTTTGAGCAATATTTAATGCCTGAGTATGTTATTGCATAAAAAATGCAAAATACAAGATTAAATGATATTATCCTAACTTTATTTTTAAGTTACATATATGTGTGTTAGTATGTATATAGACATATATGTACATAAAATGCATATGTGTATAAAAAGAGAGGACAGCAAGCCTGTTGTGCCTGTATATCATTAATTCAACTCCTAAAAAAATTTTCAAACACCACATTTTTAAGAAAAACAATTATTTCAGTGGAAAAAATGTGGATTAAAGGCTAGAGAATTTTAGACTCATAATAACAAAAGAATTTTTCTGCAGTAATTTCAGTAATTAATGTATTTCCAAAGCTACGAGTGTCTTGCTACTGCCAGGGAAAACAGTAAACTGGTTGGTCAAAACAGCATCTCCCATTTACTTTGTTTTTCAGTGTTTCACACAGTTTTATTACAAAACAAGCAGTCCCATTTACTTTTGAGATCCGCCTCCACCCAGTCTCTGTCACCAGTGGCCCTGACCTCACCACCCACAGTGAACAGCAAAATCTTAGGCAATAGGGAATCCAGACAGACCAACAAAGCAGTCACGGGCTCCTGGGCTTTGCCATGAGCAACTTTTTGACAAATCTTGGAGTGCTGGTTCCTGATTGTGGTTCTGTTGTAACCTGCGCGAGCTGTATTTGCTTCATGAAGCCTTCAGTGTATGAACGGGTAGAACAGAAGTCTGAAAAGAGACTATTTCTGTATACTAAAATTACCTTTTCACCAATATTTATTTCTGTATTTTCTATAATGAATATTAATTTTATAGTAAAAATACATAATAAATGTATACATTTTTTGAGGCAGGTCCTCTCTCTGTAGTCCAGGCTGGCCTTGAACTCTCTATCCTCCTGCCTCTGCCTCCTGAATACTAGGATTACAGGCATGTGTCACCATGCCCAACAAAGCTATACATTTTTGAACATACTCCTCTGCAATTCCAGATAAGTGTCATTGCTGCCATTTTACAACTTACAGCTGGCCATGTCGACATCACTCATAGGAAAATATAACCTAGGGTAAGTAGGCTTTGACTTCTCATCTTTCTCAATTGATGTTCTTGTTCTCTAAATGAAAGTAATCCAATAATTTTAGCTCCAGACCCTACTTTCATTCATTTCTCAGACACTGCCATCTATTGTGCATGCACAAAGTTCACAAGTGTTGATGGCCTTTGGAAAGCTCAGGGGCTTGTTGATGAGATTTATTCTTGTATGAGTGCAAGCCAGACAGGCTGCAGTGTCTCCAACAACAATAGAATAGCATGTCAATCCCAACCTCAAGCACACCAGAGGCAAGTGCAGCTGTGACCTGGTACCTGCTCTGACTAAAGACCAGTCTCTGTTCATTTTAACACCTCCTGGCTGATCATCTGGGAGGCCTAGAAGCTGTGCTAAATGTGGATTTGACAGGAGAAGCAGACATCTTCAACAGGTGAGGTGGTGGAATGGAGGGAGCCTTGCCTGAGACAAGACCTATCTCTTTTAATCCACATTTGTCCTCACCACATGGGCCACGTAGGACAAGCAAGGTCACCTCTTACCCTATTTCTAGAGCCAGGAAATAAGAGCTTCTTCAAAGGAGGGTTGTAAAAGGAAAAGAGATGTGTAAGAACTTGGTAAGCTGCAAAATAATACAAAGATATAGGAAATTCTGATAATTACTTGAAATACTCTTTAAATAATAAATCACAGATATTTGGAGCTCACTAAATGTATTGGTTTATCTTCCTAAACCCAGTGGATGGTCAGATGCTTGGAGCCTGTTGAATTTTTTTTTGAGTCCCACCACTTTGGAGGCCAGAGAGAGGGGGGTCAAGGGCTGCCTCAGCTTATAGACAACCTACTGGGGATATTTGGATAACACTCCCCTAGGCCTCAGTTTCTTTCTCTATAAAAACAAGGGGGCAACTGATTGCTAGGTCTCCGAGCAGCACCTCTGTGTCCAGCTTTGTGGAGCAGTAGTGTTTAATATATAACCACTGGAATCACAGTGCTGTAGCAGGAAGTTCACGTGGTTCCAAAACCCCCAGGCCTCAGCTCATCATTTGCCAACCTGAGACTTAGGACCATGCAAAGCGAAACAGTCTACTACAAACAACCCCCTTCCCCACTCTGGACAGGCAAAGTAGGGATGCAGACCAACTCCAGGGCCACTGGAATCGGGAGAGCGTCATCTGGCTTCCGAGAGGCCCAGCCCCTCTGCATATGGTCCCTTGACAGTTGTGCCAGCTAAAATCTTGTCTTAGCTTTTCAGCTTATATGCCCAGGTCCCAGAGGGCCTCCTAGGCAGGGCTGTGTTTCAGACAACTCCATAGCCTACCGTCCAGCCACTACCCGGGGAGCGTGCACAGGACAGAGAAGCCTCACAGAGTACACTGAAGGTGACATGAGGGGGACAAGTTCAGTTCCCAGAGCATCTTCACCACACCCCCATTCTGAGGGGAAGAAAGGCCCCACCATACAGACATTCAGCAGCCCCACTGAAGGCCATGCACCCTCAGAGCCTCAGAAGCACAGGGACATTGCACACCTCTAATGCAAGCCTCCTTTCTGAGTGGAAGGTTTGCCCCAACCCTGCACTGGGCCCCACAGGCCTATGCTGCTGCTGTGTGAGCAAGAGCCTGGGAACCTACCTGGGTCCTTGGGGGAGCATTTATTGACACCCCTCAATTCATGACCCACGCCCACCACTGCTCCTGTAAGGCTGTCTCTTGTGGCATTTACTCATATCCCACTCCTGTCCCTCCAGTAGTCATCCCACTGTGCTGCCTGTGTATCTGTTTATGTTCCCACAATATGGCAGTCGTGTAGACTGCTGTGTGCCGCTCCACACTCACTCTCTTTCCCCACCCTCCCTCATGTCTGTGGAGGCCCACATAGCCCCCATGCCCTTGCCCTGGCCGCCTGCATTGGCATCCCTGTGGCCCTACTGAGAAGTTCATGTTGCAGATCCAGAAGCAAAACTCTGAATCACAAAGTAGGCAGGTCCTTCCATTTTTCACCCAGGGGTGCCAACTGCTCTTTGAATAGCCACCCCTTCCCATCCTCACCAGCAGGCGCCCCCACCTTCTCTACATACCTCTGCTGGTGCTCATGCGTCTCTGTGTTGCCATGCGTGTGTTGTGATCATACTGAGAACCCCAAAGTGTATCACTAACCCCAGCCAGCCCAGGCCTGGCTCTTCCCAGATTCCAGGACAGCTTTTTATAGCAGGCACAAAACTGAAGGCTGAGCATTCCCACTAGGTATTTGTAGAATTTCTCTGCTTGAAAGGCATGCTGCCAGGGAGGTTGGTAGTCCTCTTCTGTTCAGGCAACAGATAGTGGCATTTGTTGAGAAAAATGTAAGTACCTGCTCATACTCACAGGCAGGCAGCTTCATGGCAAGCTGGGATCCATTTCATCCTATCTTTGGGCAAAATTATCTCTATCTTTCATGCAGGAAGCCATGACAACTCTTGTTGTCA